TTCTTTTAAAGATTTCATCCAAAAATATATTTTTTTAAAAACTCGGCCTACTTTTTCTGAATCTTATCAACTAACTATATTGTTAATATCACAGTTCTAAACACATTTCAATCTGTGTTAGAATGGTCATAGCTAATCTGTATACGAGTGTGAATGTGTGTGTTGTTTGTTTGTGTGTTGATGAGAGAAAGATTTTTAAAAAATAATAATATGAGAGGTTAATCTAAATGAGTCATCGATATTATCAACCATTTATGTTTCCCTATTCCTATTTAATCCTCTAAATAATTAATTTATTTTAAATACACCTGTTCATTTAAAATTCTCGTTTTGATAAATGTAGTTTTAAAAAGTAAATAAATAGACAAACCCTTACATTAATAATAATAATAATAATAATAATAATAAAAATAGCAATAGTAATAGTAATAATAATGGTGTTTTAGCGCATATTCACTTTCTAATGGTGAATATTGAATAGGGTTCCATCTTTATTCACGTACATTTATTTATTTGAAGTGAAAACAAACAAACAAGCAAACAAACAAAACAACTAATCTACATATATTGATGGATGTACATAATATTCCCAGTTGAAATAATAGTTAATAAATCTATGCAAATTAATAAATAAATAAATAAATAAGTAAATTAATTAATTAATTAAAATACATTTTCGAATCAAATAATAATCTAAGAAAACAAAATGTTGACTAATTTGTATTGTAAATTAATAATCATAATAATAAAACAGGATACTTTTATATTATTGTCACAAGTTCATTGTATACAGTTAATTTCAATAAAAATGTGTGAATTATGTTGTTTGTTTGTTTTTTATTTAGAAAGAAATTTATCTTGTTAATAATTTTATGGTTTATTTGGAAATAATTCATTGATTGACTGACTAATTCTTATAATTATCATTCTTACTATTATTGAAACAGGTATTATATCGGTGAAACAGAGTTAGAATAATAATAATAATAATAATCGTGAGAAACAGCGACCAGTGGAGTTCAATCGGGTCTGTTGTGAGATAGTAACTCACTGAAGACAATGGTGGATAGATCACACAATTTCGTGGATTAGTTGAAGTTAGACATTAACACCGTTAGGTGCCAGTCGGCTCAGTAGTCTAGAGATTATGCGTTCACGCGTGAGACTGATAGGTCCTCGATTCGAACCTCGCGAGGCGGTATCGTGGATCCGCACTTCTGAGGAGTCTCACATTAGGATGAAACGGCCGTTCAATGCTTCGAGGTTTTCCATGGTGGTTTAGCTTCAATTGACTAATAAGATCAACTATTAAAATAATAATAATAATAATAATAATAATAATAATAATATGTACAAGACAAAAATCACCATGTGTACATGATTTGTAAGATTTGAATTAGTCATGTTTCTGGCCAAGTGACAATTGTAAAAAGAAAGAATTAATTTAAACGATGTAGACTATTTACTAAACCAAATGATAATTATGTAACTAAATGAAATTCAATTACTCTAGCAAACTTGTCACCTTTATTTATTTGTTTATTATTTTTATTATTATGCATTCCCATTGGCGATACATTTTTCACAACCATGTCCACAGATAAAGCACTCTCTGTAAGTCTTCAGGACCTTAGTTCTCAACCCTTGATTAGGTTGTACAAATACACGTTTTGTCGAATCTCATACTACAACAAAATATATATCCAATATACTCGTAAAAACTGTAACCAACTATCCAAGATACTTGATTTTTTAAATAGTTTTTTAACTAGTCAACCTGTAATGGAAATAGTAAATAAACATTTCTACCTGTCACGACTTAATTTTGTAAAAATTAATAACTAACTAAGCATACAAATTTTCGTGATTCAGTGCTTGTGTATTAATCTGTTTTAATTAGCCATTACTAGTTCGGTACACTGAAATTATTCACTGTAACTTTTCCCAGTATCGATAAATCTTAGCTTCCATTCAACCGGCTACTTTTACGTAACAATAAAATTATTTTATTAAAAATTTCTCTGTTCCATTACCAATCGAATTACCATGTTGATAGTCTGTGAGTGTTTTTTTCAAGTAGTCTATGTATCGTTTTATTATTATTATTATTATTATTATTATTATTATTATTATTATTATTATAACAAGACTGCAATCTAAACTGAGTCCTACTTTTTGGATAACTGGTCTTGTCTCAAAAAGTTACGGTTACACCCACCCCTTGTCTATGTATTACGACAGTTGACATGACGGACAAATCGAGCAAGATACTTAATAAAGTAGTTTTTAACATTTAATTTCATCATCTAGGCTGTTGAATATGTGTGTGCGTGTGTGTCATATCACCTTTTTTAAAGTCGTGTTATTTGTAATCATCTGAAAAACAAACAAACAAACGAATCAGTATTCATAGTTGTATAAATATGCAATTTTGTATATATGTTTGTGTATATGTGTATTATATTGATTGAAAAAAAAGTGGTGGACCAATTTGCTGACTGATTAATGTTCACCTTACACAATTTCAATATTGAGTAGTAATCACATTTTTTGTGTAAGACAAAAAAAAATCAGTTCAAGTTCACATTTAAATTAATAACAAGTTATTAAGTGTCATTTTTAAAGAAACATTAGACAAAATGAATTCATTTTAAGTTTCTATATAAACATCATTTGAGTTCTATTAGTTGGTTTATTTATTAAAAAAATATCAATCTTCATCTTATTACACAATTCAAATGTGAGCAGTACTCATCATATAGAATTCAAAATGGACATTACTAATACTAAACAACTAAATGTAATTGTGAAAATATCAGCTTTATAAAGAGAACATAGATGAGCTTAAAGCTATCACAATGAATTTTCCGACAGTTCTTAGTCAATCAGTAATCAGTTGTTTATAAATAGATAGATTATGCAAATATAAACAATAATATTGAGAAAAAATTCAAATTTTTGATGAATCTATTAGTTTCACAAGTTGAAATCATGAGCCAATTGAAGCTAGACCACCATGGAAAACCTGGAAGCACTGGAACCCTGGGTTCGAATCCCGCGGGGGGCGGGTTCGTGGATGCGCACTGCTGAGGAGTCCCATACTAGGACGAAACGGCCATCCAGTGCTTCCACGTTTTCCATGGTGGTCTAGCTTCAATTGACTCATGATTTCAACTTGTGAAATTTCTAAAAATCTCCACAAAACCCATTCTGAGAGTCTATTAGTTATTGAATAAAAATCATCTACAGTTAATTCATCTACATCATACTTTCTGTAGTGATTTAAGATGGTACCCAGGAGAATTTAGCGAGGAAAATTTTCTTCTCAACGAAATCATTTACTCAAAGCTTTACATTTGTATTAATAGTTGCATGGTAAATATATGTCTATAGACTCCAGTTATCAAATGAAGTTGCGTAATAATCAGTCGGTTAGAGAAGAATAGAAGGATGAAAATAATTTATGAGTCAGAATTATGAAAGATAATTGTCTGGTTGATAGATATGAAAAAGAACGAAAAACATTATGCTGAGAATTTTCTACTGTCGTAAAATGCACAGTACTGAATCTGTAGGGTCAATGAGATTTAACTGATCTCTAGCCACATTAACCATCAAGGTTAACTGTCTCGATATTACATAACAGATCACTGAATCTTGGATAGTCTACTGAACCGAAGTGCATTAATTATTTATACGTTATGGATTGGCACACGAGGCTGTTGACCTTATAAGTACTTCTTCAGTCTCTGCATATAATACATTTATCCAGTAGGATTGTGTTTGTTCTATACAGTAATCACAGTAGCTTTAAGTCGTGGATACCAAAACCATGTTGTCCAGTTTAAGTTTTAGGCGTGTGTTGTAACTTGGATGTAATGTAGGAAGTGAGAGTATTCCCATTCAACTCCAATAGACCCTGACCATCCAAATAAACCACCTAGAAATCAACTGAATATTAATGTTTACAAATACGCTGCAACGATTTATTTTAAATGCAGTAAAGTTAAGATGTTCGATCACAAACTAATGCGGGTTATTCACATTTCATAGCTTACTGAGTTCACCACCCGGCAATACCTTTGATTATCTAAATCACTTTTTTTAATTTTTGTAAGCGAAACGTCCATTTAAAATGAATTGATGATTATATTTTATAAAACATATTTATACTAACAGTTGATATCATGAGTCAATTGAAGCTAAACCACCATGGAAAACCTCGAAGCATTGAACGGCCGTTTCATCCTAATGTGAAACTCCTCAGAAGTGCGAATCCACGATGCCGCCTCGCAAGGTTCGAACTGAGGACCTATCAGTCTCACGCGTGAACGCATAATCTCTAGACTACTGAGCCGACTGGCACCTAACGGTGTTAATGTCTAACTTCAACGAATCCACGAAATTGTGTGATCTATCCACCATTGTCTTCAGTGAGTTACTATCTCACAACAGACCCAGTTGAATCCAGGGAATACATTTTGGAGACCGTCACTCGTGAGCATATGTTCATTAACATCAGAAGGGTTTTGTGGATATTATAGTAATTTTAATAGTTGAGATCATGAGTCAATTGAAAACTAATAGGTTCTAGGTTCGAATCTCGCGACGTGGGATCGTAGAAGCGCATCGCTGAGGAGTCTCACAGTAGGACGAAATGGCCGTCCAGTGCTCCCACGTTTTCCATGGTAGTCTCATGATCTCAATTATTAAAATTAATATAATATCTAAAAAACCCTTCTGACATTTATATGTTAAAAGTTCATATAAATTTTGTATGTAATAGAAGAAAACTAAAATAATTGGATACTGAACATGCTTAATATTCAATCCTTATTGTTCCTTCTAATTATTAAGTTTAGGTCATTAATTACTTCTTATATAAATAAAATAAAGATGAAAGGTTGCAACATTTTAAATGTATATACATATTTAACATTCAAAATTGGGTGGAAATTATCTATCTCATAAATCATAAGTGTGTCTTATTTTCAGTTTAAATGATTTGGTTAAATTGTGACTATAATTGTTACAAATCTTGTATTAGTCAATTCGATAATGATGACTTTTTAAAATTTTACTTATTGGAACATTGGTCTTCCCTTATTCCAATTGATAATAATAATAATAATAATAATAATAATAGTAATAATAATAATAACGTAATAGCTACAGTTACTATCGGTTATTTATATGGTTATATAACAACGATACTGATATGTAAATAGATATATACACGCAATATGTACATAACAATAATGTTAATAAAGAGATCGTATTTATTTTAGTCACATTAAAACACGTACAAACATAAACTAATTTAAAGAGAAATGCACACATAGTCGACCTGATGAGGAGATATTATGAATTAATTCTAAATAGTTGACCTTAGCATTATAATATGTACCATGTTAACATTTAACTGATTGTATGTATGTATGTATGTATAGTTGATGATGAGATTACTTTTTAACAGAAAATATAATTTGTAAATTGTTTTATGGTTTGATTTTAAATAGTCAACAATTAGCTTCCAATTTATAGTGGGTATATCGATAAACAAATTGACTATAGACAGATACAACAAATGTACATCAAATATATTTATACACTATTGTCTTAAGTGAATTTAAACAAATTCATCTATGTAGCAACTTCATTGTTTATCATGATGATACTATGTACACATAGTTATATTATTATTTATATTCAATTTCTTATAATTCAAATTAACACTGGATAAGTAAACAAATAAATGGATTTCATCAAAATAAATAAATAAGTAAACTTATGTTTACATATAGCAGTTTAACTAGTCGGATAACTATTGTTAACTGTTGTAAATAGGTGGTTAAGTATTGTTAATGTTAAAAATTGATTGATTGATTGATTGAATGATTAGATTTGTAACATGTGAATCTAATGAAAAGTTTAATCTCTGAAGAGTGTAATAATAAATAATAATGGCGCCAATTGTTGCATAGTTCGTAACTTCTTTCATCTGTCTATCATAGAGTGACTAAACTGCACAATAATTCATTATTTATTATTTCATGATTAAGGAATATGACCTATGCAAACAGTATATAATCATGGACATCTTCAAAGCATTTTGTGCATATGGATGAATTATCATGTGAATCATACAAATATTACATATAAGGTGGGTACTATAATGAAGTATTTTGTAAAACTCAATCGATTCCCTAAATCTTGACTAAAGGCAAGGGAAGAACTTATTGAGTGATTGGAAATATGATGGAGAAGATTTGTAGCTCAACTGAGTGTATTTAATTGTGACTTCATTCTGTGGACTGAATGGTTGCTTCTCGAAGCTCTGACGATATTTCCATATACCATCTCAGTACTTACTTCAAAGATTTACATAACAATATGTAATAACCAGTTTGAGTAAGCCGACAGGAAACTCTATTCAACCTATATTTTGTGCTGGCTGATTGATACTCGTCAACAGGGTATACTTGCAATCTTGATGTAACCGATGCTCTCTGTACAGTGCGAAACCTCGTAATCCAGTTCTATAGTCTGAGATGTTGCTCCTGAGCTAGTCGGATTTCTACTGACTTCCTATAAGACCGATATACTTACAGCTGATTGATTAGTGAGTACTGATCATTGTTATGTTTGTCTAGCCCTTTAGCGATGATCAAATTTCATTGATCAAGTTGAAATGTGGTCAGTAGTTTAAGGGAGAGAGCATCTTATGCATTATACTAAACTGTTCTGGCCTCGAGAACATATTTTTCATGCTAGTCGTCATTTGTTAATAAGATCAGCGGTCTAATTAAAACTTAATCGATAAAACTCAACCAATTCTATGGAAATAGACAATCACGATAGTGGTCACTGATTTGGGATCAGTTAATGTATAAAATTTCGTTGAACAATTTAAACCATTATTTTTTTATAAAGCATTCAGCTAAATTTATGTGACAAATAATAATTGATTGCTTCCAAATTGAGAATTTATGTCACCATATAACCACGTGGTAATACAATTCTCTCTCTTTAATGATGTTAATATTTCTTTATCAGTATAGGGTTATAGAGATTGTTGAGTTTCATTATAATCATGAACCGATCAATGTTAGATGATGATTAAAGACTCGAAAGCACTGGATAGCCATGTCGTGCTGATATGGGACTTCTCAACAGTGTGCATTCACGATCCTGGGTGCGGGCCTCGAATCCAGGACCTTATGTTTATGAGCGATGACAATGGAAGATGTTCGCGCAATATCGTGGATTTATTAAATTTAGACATTAACGCCATAACACAAAATCCAAAAATAAATGTCTGGACAGTAAAATGTAGCTGAGCTCTAGTAAAGTCGTCCGTTAGGGATAACCGGATAGGTACATGAGGCAGTGGCCCTAATCATATCATATCAACAAGACAAGTTGTCATAAATTTCTGAAATCATTTTAATCAGAACATTGATTTCTCAAAGTTGCAATCATTGGTTTTGATGTTACCTAGAAATATAATATTTTAATTGCTAAACCGTTCAGACTACATTAAGAAACACGAATAAAATTCTCTACCTTCTAATATCACTAGAATAAATTTTCTTGACTCTTTGAAACTTTTTCGAGAAAATGTCTAAATAATCATTAAAACAATATATTTAACCAAATATCGTTAGAAGAGAAATGTATCCGAAATGTACCTTTGTTGTTCTTGACAACATTCCAGTATTTTTAATGTTTGAATTATAACTAACCATGGAAACCTGGCAACAACGTTTGATTTTTATTTCCTGCTGGTATTCGAAACGATAGATACAGACTATCAGTTCGAGTGTAAACACTCACAGTCGGATGAAAATACAGCGAAGTTACGAAACACAGTTAGGACTAAACCAACATTTTAGATTTCACCACTAATCACAATCTAATTGTAGAAAATACATATAACTGAATGGCAATATTAAGGGATACATTGAAGATGGATATTTGGCAGTAGAAGAAAAATGATTAATTACATACTTGAATATAAACACCGGGAAAGTACAAACTCTAACAAATGACAAAAAACCCAAATAAATAAACAGCTATTTATAACATAATGTGTAAACAAATAGTTTACAAATAAATATTTTCAAAAATAGTAATCTTCTTTGTTCTATTGAATGTCATTTGTCTGTAAAAAATAATGAAAAATTGAGAAAAAGTCAGACCATATATAGAAATGTTATTCAATATTCAAGTGTGACGATACATCTAGTAAACAACAACATTCTAGGTATATGTTTATGAATGTTTGTATTTATTTAAATAATATAGTAAATACATAGAAACTTAATAAATGAAACTAACGTGGTGTACAACGCTTATATTTATTACCAGCATACTATATGCATCTCTTCGGGTTGTAGTAACAAGATGAGAAGATATATGACAGCTCTGGTGACTAAACATTTGACATTGACTTTCTAAGCACTTACTAATCCCTTCTATATTTGAACCCCAAATAAGAAATGAAAGTTGGGATGTGCGGAAATAAATCTCACCTAAATGGTTAGTTTATGTACGAAAAAAACAGGGATACTGATAAGTCTCTGTATGACCTATGGAAACATGGTAAGATTGATAATAAGAAATATGATCATCTGTTCCCTTGGAACTCTGAGAATTTTTTAGTGTACATTGATTGAATGAAGTGTTTTCAGCATTTTACTAGCTTACGAAGACTTTTTCAGTTCATTTCTAAGGCCTTTCAACAATAATGTATTCCTTTGTTTAGATACTTCAATTCATACTAAAAATCAAAGTGTTATAGATTATATTTGGATTCCAACAGAGATACGTTAATAGGAAACTATCCAACAATTATTTGAAACCGTAACAACAGTAACATCAAAATTGGTAATTAAATTATATTTGTAGTGAAAATAAAACTCGCTTAAGCGATATACAATAAAAGGACCCAAGAAACTAGGAATTTTATGTAAGTGGAATTTCAATATAATAATAATGACAACCGTAATAGTAGTAGTGAGGATCGGTTTATTCATTTTACGTTTTTTAGTTTTATGGTGGTTAGCTACTTACAAGTAACTAAATAAATCAAAGTGAAAATGTTTTTAAGGATAATAATGGTTATAAAAACAATGAAGCTTTTGATGAATATTTATTCACATAAAATATCATGCTTTCTATCTGTTAAATAAGTAATCTTAATAATGCCTATAAATTCTAATTCGTAGATATAATTCCTATTCTAAACTAACATGAAATCATGTCATTAAAAGCTACGGAGTACTGAACGACTGCTTTACTCCGGTTCTTACTTACTTACTTACGCCTGTTACTCCTCGTGAAGGAGCATAGGCCGCTCACCAGCGTTCTCCATCCAACCCTGTCCTGGGCAATCCTTTCTAGCTCCGTCCAGTTGTAATTCATCCTTTTCATATCTGCTTCTATTATCCGACGCAATGTGTTCTTTGGCCTTCCTCTTTTTCGCCTCCCCTCAGGATTCCAAGTTAGGGCTTGCCTCGTGATGCAGTTTGACGATTTGCGTAATGTATGTCCTATCCATTTCCATCGTCTTTTCCTAATTTCTTCTTCAGCTGGAAGTTGGTTTGTTCTCTCCCACAGAAGGCTGTTGCTGATGGTATCCGGCCAATGGATGTTGAGTATCTTGCGAAGACAGCTATTTATAAATACTTGTACTTTCTTGATTGTGGTTGTTGTAGTTCTCCAAGTTTCAGCTCCATACAGTAGAACTGCCTTGACGTTCGTATTGAAGATTCTCACTTTGATATTGGTTGAAAGTTGTTTTGAGTTCCATATGTTCTTCAATTGTAGGAATGCGACCCTTGCTTTGCCGATCCTCGCCTTTACGTCTGCATCTGAGCCTCCTTGTTCATCGATGATGCTTCCCAGATATGTGAAGGATTCTACATCTTCCAGAGTTTCGCCATCAAGAGTGATTGGATTGCTGTTCTCCGCTTTGAATTTGAGGACCTTAGTTTTTCCTTTGTGTATGCTGAGGCCTACTGATGCAGAGACTGCTGCTACACTGGCTGTCTTCATCTACATCTGTTCGTGTGTACGTGATAGGAGGGCTAGGTCATCTGCGAAGTCCAAATCGTCTAATTGATTCTGAGCTGTCCATTGTATTCCGTGTTTTCCTTCAGATGTCGAGGTCTTCATAATCCAGTCGACCACCAGAAGAAAGAGGAAGGGAGAGAGTAAACAGCCT